AATCGTAGATAAATCCTAGATAAATCGTAGAATAAATGTCGTGGTATTTATTTTTACAATCTTAACAAAATTTACAAATTCTATTTAGATTTATTTCTGTTAAACTTCAGAATTAATTTATTTACTACTCCATTGAAACGCCTTGTCACTTTGTTTGCAAACATTTCCAAATATCGACTATTCCTATTGCACAAAATGGCATCGTTGCTTAATATTCAAGAGAATCTACCATAAATGCAAATTTTCGCTCGGTAATGCGTTACTACGATAGTCTCTGCGTTATCTTCCTTAAGAAAATTGAATTCTAACTACCTCATCGTTCAGGCGAAGGATTTCGCGATAAAACAGCAATTTTTCGGAAAATTGAAGACAACGATGTAATGCTGAAATAGCTATCCTGCGCAATTTTCTGTATCGGTGACGATAACAACTGTCAGTTTAAAAGAAAAACGGAAAGAAACTGGCATCCTCGGATGCAGTATTATATAGATTTCAGATTCTATTCAATTAATTTACCGAATTAATGCATTCAAGATCTAACAATTTCATTGCAAATAAAAATGTCTGATTTCCGATTTTAAGATAGAGAATAATAAGCAATGCACTTATTATAAACACTATAAATAAATCTCTGATTAATTAATTTGATTTAATTTTTTTTGCAAATAGAAATTTCTGATTATAGGATAGAGAATGTAATTACTATATTAATGCACTGACTGTAAACATTATTCCTTGTCAACCACTATAAATAAATCTCTGATTAATTAATTCGGTACTCGAAATTTGATAATATTCTTCAAGAAAAAAATGACATAGGTTCGAAATGTGTCGTAGGCAGCTGTATAGCCACGTGTCGAGTGTAACGTAACCTCCACGTAATAAGTTAACGGGAAGATCTTCAAGGAAAGTTGCGGCGTAGTTTCCATAATTTCACGAGTCCCCTGGCGTCGAAGACATTTTTCTCCCAGCCGGTATTTTACATATAAAGCATGGCACGCGGATATATCCGCGTTGTTTCTTCGCGATATCGCGGGCATTAGAACTTTCCTTGTGGCTGTTAAACTTTTACAGAAGAATCTCGGAATACGAAGGCGCCAGTTCATGCCACGCTTTCGACAGTGAAAAACCACCGAGGTACGAATAGTAAATGGGAGTTGTTCGCACGTGGAGGTCTCCAAAATATCATCTTATGAATTTTTTTTATGAAGTTACTCATGCTTTACCAATTTTGCATAACTGGTAAAAGGATACTTTCCCAAATAAAGATTAATCTTGGAAGATGCACACGATGCACAGGCTGTTATCAGAAATTTATAATTATTTATCAAAATAGATTCCTCGCATAAATTTGGATCGAAAAGTCCTTTTCCACATCGCAATTTGATATTTTGTTATCGAGATACAAGCAGTTAAAGTTGCATTGGTCGCGCGCAGTCGCTCAGCTGACTGAGAGGCTGACGTCGTGCGCCGAGAATTAAAATTAACCAACTTTAAGAACTTTTATCTGGATGACGATGGTTCAACCTGCGAAATGGTAAAGAACAATTTGACTTCCTTTTATGCGAGGAATCCTAAAAAGAAGGTCCCATACTTTTCTTATCATTTATACAATATTTAAATAAACAGGGATAATTTACACTATATCAAACAAATGTTTCCTTTCAAGAGAAATATGAACAACAATTCTTTGCAAACATCTCCGACTAAATTTCCATAAATCCTTATCCCATTTCCCTTTCATTTCACCCGTAGCGAGATCAACAGATGAACCTCGGCCCGAAGACATCTTTCTTTTCTGTCAGTGAAAGAATACGCGAAGAAAGGCGATCGCAAACAGTAGACTCCTCCTCGCTGAAATTGGTTTGTCAACGAGTATCAATCATCCCGCTTCGTTTCTACGTTCCCGACTGTCTCCAGTTTACTTCTCACCGCTTTTCAAAGCAAGGTTTCGCCGATGCAAATGCTCAGACCTTCCAAAGCCTGACAAATGTGTGTTTCGATCTATTCGAATCGTCGGGATTACGCATTCAACAGCAGAAAGTCCGTGTCGACGATCCATCATCGTTTGTAGTCGTTATTTCTTCGATCATCGCATCTACTTCGTCCGAAATAATCAATGATAATTTTTTCTATATTTTTCTTGTAAGAGGACATCCGTTTCGTTATTTATTGAAGTTTTAAGTGTTGAAATGTTGAAGAATTAAATTTTACAACGAGGAATTGTTTACTTACAAATGCTGTTACATATTATATATTTGTTACAAGATGAATATTAAATAATAATACTTTGATGATTTTTGTCACTCCTAAAACTGAGTTGTCGCTACTAAAAAAAAAATAACTCACATCTGTTAATGGTATCATTATTCTGTACAAATTTAATCAAAATCGGTGCCTTTTAATTGGGTAATTTTCTGCATGTTTAATCTTATTTGATTATTACCCGATATGATTTCGCATGTTTAATAAGAATTTATTGACGAACAAGGTCCACTGACCCTACGAATTTCATGTATTTTTGTTAATATGTAAAGAGTTTGTTCAATAGCTGAAACTTTGTTATTTAATTATGATTTTATCCAATTAATTCTGAAATGTTTGTTATTGTTTAGTGGGCCAGTAAAGGAGAATGCCCAAGTAATGCTCAAGTAATCGAACTTTATTGCGAGAAACGTCACTCAAAATTACCTCGCGCAACTAATATTGCAAGAATGCCTAAGCGAACAATTAGGGGAATTCCAAAGCAGGCTAAATTGCATCCTTAGAAATTGCAACTTCTATGGAACCCGAAGCAGTAAGATCGTATAAGTTGTGTCGAGAATTCAGTTGCAATTTTGGCCATAATCTTGACAGAATTTTGCTCGAGAATGTGCTCTATTTTAATAAAATTTCGTCTTGATTATAATTCAATTTCGACATTCTGTTTAACGCCGTTCTACTTCTTAAAGTTTCAGCTATTATACAAAATGAAAAAACAAAAGCTGTAAAAATTGAAGAAGTTGCTGAAATGAAAAGTACAAAGAAAATTTGACACCTTGTAGAATGCACTGTTACTGAAAAGTAATCAATATTTGATCAATGTTTATTTAATAAAGAAATCTGAAGTACTAATCAACAAAATAATTTCCATCATTTTCTAACGTTTTTTGCAAGCGTAAAGGCAGCTGGTGGATTTCCTTTTTAAAAAAAGTCCTTCGATTTTTCATTGAGAAACTTTTCTAGTCGAAAACATTTTGATTACCTAATACATATGTATATAGGAACCTTCCAATGAAAGCAAGCGTAAAATTCGCGTCTTCGCATGTTTCCTCTAGTTACACAAGGCAAATTCCACGAAACTTAGTATGCGTGGTACGTAGTTGGTATAGAATCATTATCATACGTCTCATTTGCTGCAACGATTATCCAACCAATTCAAACTTCCGTTTTGCGAGTTATTGGAAAAGAAATAATGGCGAATAAAAATTGATGGCACTGAATAATATTGTATTTATTAATTGAAGTATTGTATATTATTATTGTCTTGAAATATCAACTGGACATGCTGATATAATATTCTCAAAAAATTATATTGACTCTATACTTTGAAAACTCAGTGAAATTCTAATATAGAATAACGAAAATTATCCGATTTCTTTTCTACTAGCTATTCAATTAATCAGAATTGAATGTTTTTATTTTTTAAACTAGCTAGGTTCGAGCAGGGCAGTCAATGGGTAGTCCATCACCATGCTAAATCTCAGGACCATAGCTTTTATTAAAGTCCTGCCGACTGCTGGTGGGACAGAAAAAGGAAAGCTGGAAAGTAACACGGGTCGACAGCTCACCTTTCGCTAAAGGAACTGTTACGTTGAGGGGCTATGACAGGCTGACAGGTCGAAAAATAAGGTAACTTTCGGAAATTCCCGTTCAAAGGTGGCTATGAGATTCTATGGAACGTTACTAACAACTTTTGTGCCCGCAACTGGATGCATTGATTTTCTTTGTTCTCTGAAACGACGATTTAAATTGTTCGATGGGATTGATGTATTACGCTGTGAATAATGAAAGAACATATCTTGGAAAATGCTTGATTAGTAATTAAGTATGACCTCAAATTTTGGTTCGAAAATCAAGTTATATACTTTGTGCACGAAGAGACTATTTTAGACCATAATTATCACTTTACAAGAATCTAGATATCTGAATATTCCACATTCATTCATCTTACAGTATTGAGACTAAATGGCTGAATAGCTAATGTAACATTAAATAAAATAAATAAAAAAAATATATGTATATTGAGAATTTCAGGAAAAAATGACCAACAAAAATTATTTCCACGTACTTGAAAGTCAAATAAAAAATACAGTCAGTCTCATAAATATTCGTATCCTCCATGTCTATTCAAGAAAAATTAAATGATGAATTTGATGGTCCCAAATAAATGTCTCGTGATAAATATGTACACGAACAAACTTTTCACACACACACACAGACACACGCGCGCGCGCACGCATACACACATATATAATGAATATTTATTTGGGTACATCAAACCTGTCATTTAATTTGGACAAATGTCTTCAATAGACAAATGTTACGAATATTTATGGGCTTGTATATAATACTGACGTATTGAATTTATTAAAATAACCCACCCTAAAAAATTGCTGAATAAAAAAAGAATTCCTTCTCATCTCCAGCAGAATCCCTCATGGAACCCAAGTAACTTTAATAATTGGCCTCAACTAAACATAGTATCAAACTTGTCATTTAATTTAGACAAATGTCTCCAATAGAGGTTACGAATATTTATGGGCCTGTATATAATACCGGCGTATTGAATTAATTACGACAACCCACCCTAAAAAATTCCTGAATAAAAAAAAGATTCCTTCTCATCTCCAGAAGAATCCCTCATGGAACCTAAGTAACTAACACTGTAATAATCGACATCAACTATACATAGTATCATCGAGCAACACGATTAAACGTAGGGAAGCAAATGCACCTACCTTTGATAAAGTCCACCGCCATTTCGAGTCCGTAGGTGTCCTTGTCGCAGTCGTCGAGTATATGAGCGCCGATTTTCACGCCAGGCACGATGTCTTGTTCGTTCAGCCAGTCCAACGTGTACAGCATAGCCTCGACAGCTTGGACGCCGCCCTGCGGCATCACCGGGCCACAAGTCATCCTATCCTCTCTCTCGTGCACCATCATTAACCCACCCAGCACCAGGTCACCCTCTACGACCGCGCTGTGCTTAACTGGCCACTGATATTCCAACTCGTGGGACGAGTTATCCCCACCGCTTTGGGACACGTTCGCCGCAGTAGTGATTCTGTACTCGCCTGTTCCCAGATAAATCAACCGATCCATGTCGGTGGTCGACGCGATCGACGCTCCGGCATCCATTTTACCGGACTCGGTGGTCTCGAACGGGACGTCCTCGTCGAAGGAAGCCGTCTGAGGACTCGTCATTTCGTCCATCGTGCTGGTTATGGTAGCTCGACTCTGCGCGATAAATTCCCGACGATCCAGAACTGATGCTCTCGGACCGAGGTTCTCGAATGGAAACGATTCGATCTTCGTGGACGTGACGTTCGGTGCTTTGTTACCGAGCACTGAGGATGGTACCTCTGATTTTGTAGGAAATCCGCTGGAATCTCGTCTCTGTTTTGTTGGGGAGTCTGATGGTCTTTGTTCTAGAGAATGTAGGTTGCTTGTGAAGACTGACGATTGGATTGGTGGGTTGACGATGTTGTTTGGTTTCGTGAAGGGTAGATTAGTCTGAGTTTCAAACTTGTGTTGAGGGACCTTTGATGTTAGTGATGTATTGTCCTTTGGAGATGGCAGATCATCGGTGGAGGATTGGCTGTTCATTATATTGTTGAGAGTTTTATTTAATGCAGCAGATAGATGAAGTTTCCTGTTGATAGGCTGTTTGGTAGGGGAGAGATCCTTTGCCCTTGGGTTACCTAGTTTCTCATCCTTTTTAAGATCTAGGGATTCTTCTATGGAGCTTTTGGACTCTCTGTCCTCCACTATTTCAGTTGGACCAATCTGAGTCCTCTGATCCTCCTGTTTGACGCTTTGAAGGTTCTCAACCCTCATCATCTTTGAGCTTTTGGAGCTTTTGGACTCGGTGTCCATTGGATCGCGGGTATTGTCCTCTACTATATCAGCTAGATCAATCTGAGACCTCTGATCCTCCTGTTTGACGCTTTGAAGGTTCTCAACTCTCATCTTCTTTGAGCTTTTGGAGCTTTCGGACTCAGTGTCCATTGGATCGCGGGTATTGTCCTCTACTATATCAGCTAGATCAATCTGAGACCTTTGATCCTCCTGTTTGACACTTTGAAGGTTATCAACCCTCATCTTCTTTGAGCTTTTGTAGCTTTTGGACTCTCTGTTCATTGAATCCATTACACTATCCTTGACTACAGCAGTTAAATCAACCTGAGTCCTCTGATCCTCCTGTTTGACACTTTGAAGGTTCTCAACCCTCATCTCCTTTGACCCTTCGGAGCTTTTGGACTCTCCATTCATTGAATTCTGGATACCATTTTTCACTACAGCAACATCTTTTGTCATTTTATCCGCCTCCTCAGAAAATTGAAAGCCCTTCACCCTCAATCCTCCCACTGTTTCGTCCTCCTTGGCACTCAAGAATTCCTCAATAGACCCTATCGAACCCTCTATTGGATCTCTGGTATCCCCTTTCGCCTTATTACCCAGAATACCTGTTACCCCACTCAGTCCAGTCTTCAAGGAACTCCACTCTTCCGCACGTTCCTCCTCAACATTGCCCGTGCCGATCACAGATGAGTCTCCTGACCTCGAATTTCCCAACTTTCCCATTGAACTCCCCAACTTGGCTCCCGAATTCCCCGAATTTCCTCTCGAGTTTCTCTGTTTCATCAACTCGACGAAGCTTTTCGATATTCCTGCGTGATCCCCGTTCCCCGATCCATCCAGATTAACTTCATCGATCGTCTCGGCACCATGTCCGCCCCCCGCGACATCCCTCACCCTCTCGCCGGAAGGAAATCCGACGGCTGGTTCATTATCTTTGATTCCGTGCGCGCTCAGCTGGCTGTTTTGGTTCGATGAGTCCCGACTCCATGCCACGTCTTTGACAACGGTTACTGGGTCGTTCGTAACCGGACCATTAAGCTTTAGAGAGACCGTGGAGGTGGTTCCGCGCTCTTCGTGATTTTCCACGACGGCGCTCGAAGTCCCCGCTAATGAGATTGATCGCTGGCCCGTGGCAGACAGTGTCTGGTCGACGATCCTAGCCTCCGGCTCTGGTGCCACGATTCCACCATCGTTTTCTCCGGCGTTGGACGGCGTGGATGGGATCCAGAAGCCGTGGGCTTCGATGGAGGATCGTTGGGATTCTCTCGACTTTACAACGAGCGAGTCATCCTGAGTACTAATAGTAATTTGAGTGCTAATAGTAGGATTGTTGGGCTTTGTATTGACGGTACCCGCGGTTGGGAGAATAGAGTGCGTGGAATTCAAGGGGTTGACAGAAGAATTATTATTTTTGTTTGGACACTGGTGAATTTCTTTTGAATTCGAGTCCTCTGGAGGATTCTCAGCAATGATACTAGGATTGTTAGTCTTTCTATCAGGTGTCCCTGTGATTGTGAAACTATGGTGCGTAGAATTCAAAATGTTGACAGAGTTATTATTTTTATTTGAGGATCGTTGATTTTCTTTTGAATTTATGGCGACTTGGTAAATTGGGGATGGGGTTTCAGACTCTTCAGGAGGATTCTCAGCACTGACACTAGCCTTTCTATCAGAGGTACCTGTACCTCGGAGAGTTCTCAAAGACTTCACAGGAGAATTCCCATTTGCATTCGCTAATTTCGTCGACTCTTCAATAAGTGTCACTCCATCTTTAATAAGAGTCAGGTTATCCATTTTGGATAGCTTTTCCGCGACGTTTATCTCTGGGAAATTGAACTCTGCTCCACTGTTCGACACGTTCTCCCTCGATCGTTCCATAAGTGTTACTTTACCTTCTTTCCAGACTTTACCGCCATCTTGATCCTCGGAATATCTAGATCCTTCCTCGACTACGCCTCTATTATCATCGCTCCTAGTGTTCAACCTCAGGTTATCCCGTTCTGATAGATTTTCCACGACGTTTATCTCAGGGAAATTGAAACCTGCTCCACCGTTTGATACATCCTTCCTCGATCCTTCCACCAGTACTTCCCTCCGCGTCCAATCCTCTTTCCCATCCCGAATCTCTACTCGAGGCAAGCCTCTATCCTCTATCGAACCGACGTTTTCCATTTTCGACATATCGTTCGCATCGCTATCGCCGCTGAAATGGAAAATCGTCGTCCCATTGTTTACCACGTCCACGCTCTTGCTCTCTCCTAGGTAAGAATACCCGTTTCCATTCATTAATTTCTCCGGCTCTTCCGTAAGTGTCGCTTCATCTTTGTTCGTTGTATGAAGAGCGAGATTTCCTTGTTCCCTCTCAACAGCGCTAACATCGATAGCCGTTCCCGAAACAGGAAACGCGACTCGATCCGAGGAGGCGGGCTCGTTGTCTTCGGGAACATCATTGTTGGCCGTCGATCTTTGTTTCAGGGAGACGTCGCGCAGCTCTAGCGATCCGTCTTTGTATACTTCCGCTGATTTACGAGACGTCGAGACGCGTTCCGGGTTTTCGATCCCCGTAGAATTATAGCGTTCACGGCTCGACTTCTGCGAACTAGAGGCGAGAGGGTGGATGCGATCGGGGGATGGATCGAACCAGACGGACGATAGCTCAGGTTTTAGGGGAGTTTTGAGCCTATCCGAGGTGGGATCTAAAGATCTCTTGGATAATCTATTCGGGGCAAGGTCTGCCAGCTTGGCGGGGGTAAGGGAGGGCAGTGAAGTTGACGGGAATGTTTCAGATTTTATCTGGTTTTGGTGACAATTATCGTTGGAGGAATTGAGATCTATTGAATTCTTTAAAAGCTTCTGTTCTTGATGATCGAGTTTTTTAGCCTTCTCTAGGCTACTTCTAGGGGACATCAAAGTTGATTGGACATTTAATGTTTCAGATTTTATTTGATTTTGCTGATAATTATCGTTGGAGGAATTGAGATCTATTGAATTCTTTAAAAGCTTCTGTTCTTGATGATCGAGTTTTTTAGCCTCCTCTAGGCTACTCCTAGGGGACATCAAAGTTGATTGGACATTTAATGTTTCAGATTTTATCTGATTTTTCTCATAAAGACCATTGGAGGAATTGAGATCTATTGATTTCTTTGAGAGCTTCTGTTTTTGATGATCGAATTTTGACTCCACCAGTTTATTGCCCCCCTCTAGGCTACTACTAGGGGGCATCGAAGTTGACAGGAATTTAAATGTCTCAGATTTCACCTTATTTTCCCTGTAATCAGAACTGAGCTCCACCGATCCCCTGTCCACTTCCTGCCCTTTCATTTCCTCGATGCTCCCCTTTCCATCAACACTCTGATTCCTCGACTCCCCCCAAAAACGCAACGCTTGAGTCGCCATCTTCCTCATAGTATGACTCTTCACCCCCTGCTTCTTGTAATAACTCAAGTCCCTTGAATGCGCCCCACCGTCCATCAGATCGTACACAGACTGGTCCTTCTTCCTCGAATTTTCCTCCAAACTCCAAAACCTCACTCCTCCCACCTCTCTCCTCTCTCCTAATCCTTTACTTTCCCTATCTTCTAGATCCAACTCGGAAGTTCCGCTCGGAAAATCCTCGTACCATCTCCGATCGCCATAACCACGCTCCGACGGAACACCAACATCGCCTCCAATCGAGGATTCCTCTCCATCTCCAATTTCGTTTCTAGATCCCGTCATCCCGTCATCTGGAGATCCGCCATCGTCTCTTCGACCTCTTCCGTCCGTCGACTCCGATCCAGAAAGCGGACGATTTCCCGCGAAATTTCTTTCGCCCGGGGTCGTCAACGAGTCATCGTCGCGCGAACTACCCCCGACGTGACTATAATGCGAAGCTCCCAGATCCTCATACCTCGTTCCCCGTCGATTCGTCTCCTCGTCCACCGCTCCTCTTTTACGACTGCTCGTTGTCGCCGTACGAACCGTCCCATCGGCGCGTATAACGGCTCTGGTCCGCTCAGAGGTGTGCTCAACCGCGCCACGGGAAATCCGGGTAGATAAACGTCGTTCACCTGAATTTTCCGAATTTCCCGCCAGCATCGTCCATTCCGAGATGGTTTGTGCCCCGGCGAAACGTTTACGAGAATCTTCCAGGGAAAAACTGCTCGCGAGCTTCGAATCCAGCTGGACCATCGTGGCCTGGTCGACCGAGTTGCTCCGTGCAGAGGGATCTGCATCTTCGATGCATCCTCTTTGGGGAATCCTTTGGGACGCCTTTGTAGCGTCGTCGATGGTTGTACGCTTTTTCGGCGGTTGGTCGAGAGGCGAGGCGTCTAGGACGAGTTTCGTGGCGTCGTTGCGCGATGCGACATCGATTTCCTCGGTTCTCACGCTCGGGGTCGTTTGATCGAGCCCGTAAGCGGCTTTGCTGCGGTTAGCCTTGAGCTCCGTGTCCTCCTGATCGAGTGGAAATCGTTCCCTGGCTAGACCGTGTCGCAGGATCGGGAGCACCGTCGAAACGGCCAGAACGGCCAGCCAACAGTTGTTTCGCCGCATCGCCTTACTCCCGTGGCGAGCATGCCCTGTGCCTGAAAAGAGAGTAACAATGGTTAGGAAACTGCTATAACGATTCCGTTTTATATTGATTTTCTGTCAACCCTTCGCAGGCCAGATTTTTGTAGATTTTCCTGTATTAAGGGAGCATTTCACTGTGAACGCACAAAAAAACCATATTTTCAATCATTTTTTTCTCAGCAATTATTGTATAAAATATGAATGTATAATGAATGTTTTTCTCCCCTTGAAGGTATGATTAAGGAAAGTAAATAAAAAAATTTTATTTGGTAAAAAATATTTCGTCATTTATTTACAAAATAATATGCATGTGTGCAAAAACAAAAAGATTTCCGCTGGCGCAGGTAATTTGGCTCTCCTGGTAATCTGAAACAGAAAATCGAATCGTTTATTAAACTACATATGTCGTCACACCTATCGTCGGAACCTCCAAGTAGTTGAAATTTCGATTTTTACTTATAATTTCACCTGATTTACGGTACAAAAAAAGTGTTTCTTTTTCTCTCTTTCGTAAGAAACGCTGCCATTTTGTTTATTTTCGATGAAATAAATAAATTGAGGTTCCGACCATAGGTGTGACAACATAGTTTAATAAACTTTTTCGATTTTCTGTTTCAGATTACCAGGAGAGCCAAATTACCTGCGCCAGCGGAAATCTTTTTGTTTTTGCACACATGCATATTATTTTGTAAATAAATGACGAAATATTTTTTACCAAATAAAATTTTTTTATTTACTTTCCTTAATCATACCTTCAAGGGGAGAAAAACATTCATTCAATTTTATACAATAATTGCTGAGAAAAAAATGATTGAAAATATGCTTTTTTTTGAGCGTTCACAGTGAAATGCTCCCTTAATACAGAAAAGACTGGATAAGTGCTAGAGGTTTCTATTCTGTGTTCATACAATTTGGCTCGAGTCAATCGTCGAATCCACGGAATTTTGTTGACAAAATGATGTTATAAATTATGTTACTACAGACGTGAATTCACTTCACTTCAAATTCTATTCCTAGTTGTGACAAAATTATGAAAATCGTTTTATCTTATACACTACGTATCAGGTCTACAGGAAAGTTCTGTCCGTTTTTAGAATAATACAAAATAATAAATTTCTTATATCTGGAACAGATTTTATTGAATAATAAAACTTTAATGAAATAAAAATAATAAATAAAACTTTCCGGTAGATCTAATATTTAGAACATTGATTGAAATTTCCGATGACCAGCTTCAGAATTATAGTATTTTTGTCAGTACTCGGTATCAAAAACGTTCTTTAGGGAAAAATATTAACATGTTTCACGAGAAGATCCTAGTTAGAGTCTTGGCAAATTTTCCATGGTAATGGATGCATTGGGTCGTGAAACGCCAACAGTAATTCATGTGTGTATTCAGTGACGGAGGTAAACATCGCGTATCATCTCAGCGAAAATGGTGCCTCGATCAAAGAAAATTGTGGACTTTGTTATCAAAGAACGGGGAAGCGTAAAATGAAAGACCTTATTTGAAGTCCTTTGATTAAAAATCCCCCAACCGTTGAAATCCATAGTGCTCAGAAAAATAGGGTCTCGCATCGCCCAGCATTGAACGATCTTTTAATCTGAAATGCGTGGAAAAAGAACGTGGATAGTATTAAAAATCAATGTCTGCCAAGTATTATCGATTTTCACGTAGCAGTAACGATATCGTAATTGAAAATTTTGAATTAAAATGACGCGGAACATTGGAAGAAATATTTGTATTAATTTCTATCCGCTGCGTCGAAATCAAATGTTTATTTAAATTTATGGAATAAAAGGAGATAGGAATGGAATAGATAGAAACAGAACTGGTCTCTCGTTGCACTCTATGATCAAAGCTCCCTCTAAACGTTTCTAAACTCATCCAAGTCGTTAGACCGTTCGAACTCGCGTTCTAAACTCCGCTTTCAGGATACGTCGACCACCCCAGCGGACGCTCGCCACCGCGCACGTGACGACATACACAGACACACACGTCCAGCATACGTACACGTTTATTTCGGAACGTTGAAGTAGCAATTTGTTCTCTAGAAATTCTCTGACTCCTACAAGTCCATTGTTCGCGAATGCTGATGTAATTTTCTGTTTGCTTACATTAACATTGTCACGTTTCAAGGCTTGAATTGTTTATTTTTTTATATATGGAAGTGGGTCGAAACTTTACATATAGTCAGTCCCAGAAGTATTCGTACTTCGTATGTGCGTTGAAGAATTTACTGTATTCTATAAATGATCGTCGTATCAATCAGTTTGAATCATATTACACTGCTCCAGTGATGGGGATAGTCACTTTGCATTTATCCAGTCAATCCTGTCTTGCACTTATCCAGTCTTTACTGTATCACGAGATACAAAATGCACTTTTCATCGCCATAGTTACATTTTGTTTGTCTCTGTACACAATTGACACGATCGATCATCGCGTCGAGAACTATTCTGCATCGTCAACGCGGATAAAATTGATCAACGCGGTATATTAGTGCAAGTACATTGTCACTGGACATTTCCATCGAGTGGAATCACAATTTGGCAGCCAGCCAAGAGACTGAAGACATTTCCATCGCTTAAAAGGTTGAGTAACGAGGTGTTTAATCGTCCATTTTCGCTACCGGAAGTCTAGTGGCAATATTTCAGGCCTAACCGGGAACCGATAAGTCAGTCGAGACAATTTTACTGCTTTAACGATTTGTTTCAGTGGCTGAAACCTGCCGGAGAATGAATAATTTGTTTCAATTTTCCTGGATTCGATATTTAATCTACAGCAGTGTGTTTTGAAGTGAGGATTGATTTTTAGTTTTCTATTCTTCAACAAGCTGGATAGTTAATATGAATAGTTAAATATTAGAATGTTAGTTTAGGAAGTAACGAAAATAATTTATTCAACAAAGGGGTGGCGTTACTCGCCAAGCTGCTTTGTTTATTAAACAAACTGTCTTACTAATTATAATTTGGTCACGTCTCCGTCGTAACTATGTTCGAGTGACTAATAAGGTGCGTGCAAGGTTTCCATGATAAGACACGCGTGAGTTACACAGTCTTAGATGCTGCGACCTCGGTAAATATACATGCATGCACAAAATGTTAATTCTGATTCGTAGATAAATATGCGAAGATGACATTTCCCTTTCGGTTCATTGTTTAGAAACAGGGGTATATCTAGTTATCTTGTTATCATTATTTGTGGATTTTCTATTTTATAAAAAAGATGTAGTACCCTGACAAATGGCGAAATAGAATTGAATCAATATATTTGAATTCAACAAATATTAATGTTCTTATATTATTCTTAAATACTCTGGATTGGTTAGAAGCAGGGATATATGAAGTTATGTTGTTATCATTATTTGTGAATTTTAAAAAAGATTTAGTACCCTGACAAATAGGAAATATTAATGTTCATATTCTTAAATATTCTGCAACAATTTTTATTGCAAAGTCATCTTTATAATATTCTGTATTAAATCCAGGAAGTGATTCAGACTCGCCCTCACCAGAATCAAAGGAGCTTCGATTTAATTTAAGCACTACTTCATATTAAATATTGGATAAAACTATACTTCTTCAACCAAGCCAATTAAAATTTCTAAAATCAAAAATCGAAGGAAATAAAATTGCTTAACCAAGAACAGTATTAAAAACGTATGAATCAAAATCGTTGCAAATCCTCCTTTATAATATTCTGTATTAAATCCAGAAACTGGTTCAGAGTCACCCTTAACTGAATCGTAGGGAGTTTGATTTAATTTAAGCACTATTTCATACTAAACATTTGATAACACTATACTTCTTCAACGAAGTTAATTAGAATTTCTCAAATCAAAACTCGAAGGAAAAAAAATTGCTTAACCAAGAACAGTATTAAAAACTCATGAATAAAAATCATTGCAAATCTCCCTTCATAATATTCTGTATTAAATCTAGAAAATGATTCAGATTCACCTTCAACCGAATCAAAGCAGGCTGGATTTAATTAAGGCACTTCTTCATACTAAATATTGGATAAAACTATACTTCTTTAACCAAGCCAATTAAAATTTCTAAAATAAGAAATCGAAGGAAATAAAATTGCTTAACCCAGAATAGTATTAAATAGCGAATCTTTTCCAAGATAATAATTTGCTCGCCTCTGATGTACACATGGCTCGACTCGCCTCGTGCTGTCATAAGTCGGACGCGAAACGTGTTTCGCCTCGCGAACGAACACACAATACCCATTCCACCAATGGAAAAATCTCGAGGCTTTCTTGGATCCGTGACATTGTAGAATCGTCCGAATCGAGCGGCAATCCGTGATTTCGCGGGAACGCCTTTGAAACAGTAGCTACGTATCAATAGCCGTGTCCTGGCGCGATATCGTTTCCGATCGATTTCGCGCCTTTGAAATCCGCGAATGAAACCTCGCGAACAGATGCGATCGCGCGCTTCTCATTAAAACATTCCCGCGAACGTTGATTAACGCGAAGTAATTCAATGTCCGGATCCCGTGGGAAAATATCGCTCCTGACGAAACACGCGAAATTGTCTCGATGAGTGAATCGTACAATAAATCAACGAGTCGCGGTTACAGGGAGGCGTTGAAATATCGCCAAGCAAAATTCAAGGGGAGGAGGGGGAAATCTGAAGCGAATCGGAATTGGCGACGTGGGATTGCATTGTTCGAAACTAAATGGATAGTATCAGTTTTTCTACCGAAATTGGTTTCAATTTAAAAAGGAACAATTTAAAAGGAAATAAACGTCGAGCGCTGTCTTTTTAAAATTCGACCTGCACTCTTTGTTTGATATTATTATTATTCAACTTAGGTATACGATCAGTTCGAGCATTATCGATTGTAATCGAGGCATATTATTTTAGGATATAATATTATATGGAGCATAGTTATGTAGAATTTTAGAAAGACAAATATTGACATCCTACGTTATTTATGGTAGAATATTTAATGTGTCTCTGATGTTGTATTATATAAAGTCAGTCCTATAAGTATATACCC